CCCTGATCAGAAGGACTGTGATGGTTATAGAGACCTACAGCTGGTGATATGGCTTAGCTGAGGTCAGTTTTCCTAGTAGATAATGCTGATCCTTTTCCTTACCTTCTCTCCCACCAAAGAGTCTGTCCTCAGTCAGTTTCTTTGCCCCTGCACTATGCTATCCTTTTACTACATATTCTGTTCCACCTTCTTGGTTCCCAGCTTCTGAAAGACAAAACCGATGTCTTCTCTGGCCCTCCAACTTTAAATGGGCTCACATAGTTACTTTGTCTTTGCAACACCATCTTCTTGCTTTCTTTCTGACCAGGTTTAGTGTTCTCCGGTTTTTGTGGAACCTAATTCTTTTCGGTCAGAACTACTTTCTCTTAGCTGGGCATGGTGGCGCATGCCTGTAATCCCAGCTACTCAGGAGGCTGAGGCAGGAGAATTGCCTGAACCCAGGAGGCGGAGGTTGCGGTGAGCCGAGATCGCGCCATTGCACTCCAGCCTGGGTAGCAAGAACGAAACTCCGTCTTGAAAAAAAAAAAAAAAAAAAAAAATCTCTAGAACTACTTTCTCTATTGTTCTTCTGTTGTCCCTCTTGGGTGAATTTTTTATAAACAACAGATTTTGTAATTGTGGCTTATGGTTATAACTGAACACTTAAAATTTGCCAGATCTTAGGCTAAATGCTTTATATTGATAATACTTTGATACTTTTCATCACCTTATGAGGTAGGTATATTTTCCATTTTACCAGCTAACAAACTAAGACTTGGAGAGTTTTGACTTGTCCAATAATGTAACTAGTAAAGGGCAAAGCCGATGAAACCAGATCTCTCAGACTCCAGAGCCTAAGACATGGCTCTTCAGCTTGAATGTGTGTAAAGCTGGCATCTGGACTCTGGTGGGTCCATATGGTGTCTGCCATCTTATTTTCTCCAGAATAGGTGGCCACAGGATATTTAAACATACCCAGAGGCTGACATACAAATACTTTTCATCTGGTGGGGGTCTCTTGTTTTGGGGAGGAATGCGTGCGATGTGCATTGTGTTCAGGCCTTGTATCCTTGTGCCCACCTCCCCCCCAACCCAGGCCCCTTCATGGCTGTGCTCTTTGCCAAACTCGAGAACATGCTGCAGAACTCCGTCTATGTCAACTTCCTGCTGACGGGGCTGGTGGCCCAGCTGGCCTGTCACCCCCAGCCCCTGCTCCGCTCTTTCCTGCTCAACACCAACATGGTCTTCCAGCCCAGTGTCAAGTCCCTGCTGCAGGTGTGCGATGCATGCATGCATGGGTGCGTCCAGGCTCCATGGTGGGCCAGGCCCACAGCTAGAGTGACCCTGGGTGGGCTGGGAACAGGCCCAGTGGGACTAGAAAGGACTGTATCGGTCTAGAGCTGCTCAGTAATGTCATGAAGTTGTGCTTCATAGGTGCTGGGCTCTGTGAAGAATAAGATTGAGAACTTTGCGGCTTCCCAGGAAGACTTCCCAGCACTGCTATCTAAAGCCAAGAAGTACCTCATTGCCCGTGGCAAGTTGGACTGGGCTGAGGGCCCTGCAGGAGGACCTGCCCCGCGCCGTTCTGATCCCCTAGGTGAGGCCTATCCCACCACACCCATACCTGCCTTCCCTAGATAGCTTATTAACCCAGGTTAATTGAGCCTTATTAAGAGTGAAATGTTGTGCCAGGACCTGGAGAATTGTAGAAAATTGAGTCTTTATGTTTGTCATCAGGTCGGAGGATAGAACATAGCTCTATCTATTAAAAGCCAGATCAGCAGTTCTAGCAAAAACTACTCTCAAATTTGGGGACAAGAAAGAAAAGAGGACAGAGTAGTCTGTAGGTTGTGATACTATTACAGCTTAGTAAAGGACATGACATTTGACATGGGCCTTGAGAGATGGGTAGGACTTAGGTAGGCAAAGGAGTAGGGAATCTTTTTTTTTTTTTTTTTTAAGGAGAAATTCTGGACTGTTCATTTGGAGTAGGGGATTTAAAAGGTGATAGAATAGTTGGTAGTAGGCTGGAGAGATTTGGCTGGAGCTGAATTTCTCAGAGTAGAAGTTGTCATGTTTTAGGTAGTGAAAAACCACTGGAAGTTCTAAATGTGGAAGTGGAGAGATTAGTATGTTAGCTCAGACGAAGTCAAGCTAGGAGAAAAGAGTCAGGAAGCATCAGGAGGCTTCTGTCATAATGTAGATAGTATGAGGGAGGCTTGAGTTAGAATTAAGTGGACATGGAAGGGAAGTGTTGGTGCAGTTTGGTGAGTGATATAAGGAAGGAGGAAGAATTAAGTATGAGTATGAAGCTTTAAGTCTAGACTTTTCACTTAATAAGTATCTAAAACTTTTGCCGTACGTGCCAGGCATTGTCTTTGGTACAGGAAAATCAGGGAGTTACAAGATATAATTTCTGCCTTGAAAGAATGTACAATCTGGAAAGTGACTAGAGCAGGCATCCCCAAACTACGGCCCGCAGGCCGCATGCGGCCCCCTGAGGCCATTTATCCAGCCCCCTGCTACACTTCAGGAGGGGGCACCTCTTTCATTGGTGGTCAGTGAGAGGAGCACAGTATGTGGCGGCCCTCCAACGGTCTGAGGGACAGTGAACTGGCCCCTTGTGTAAAAAGTTAGGGGACGCCTGGACTAGAGGAATGTAATACCAGAGGGAGCAAGGTCCTAAAGGTGTTGGGAGTAATGGGATCTAAAGCAATAGAAAAGGGTTAACTTTGGACAGGAAAAGGATTTTTGTTTTTCTCCCTATGAGGCAAATGAGCAGAGAGCAAGGAGGAAATGACATGTGTCAGTGGAGTTGTGAAGTGTAGAGGAGAAAGGGATTTTGTATCATTATTTACTAATCGAAGCAGAAGGCAAAATGATATGCTGAAAGCAGAGATGGAGGCTTAATGAGAAATGTGTATGGGTTGGGAAGAGAATACCACAAAAGTTACTGCACAGCTGTGAAGTCTCAGGTAAAGTTCTTTAGCATGATTTCTTCATGGTCTAGTATTGTGAATATTTCTTCCTTCTACAGTTCTGGTGCTGAGGTCATTGTAGAGGGTCCAGGTAGACAAGGTAGACAAGACAAAGTCTAAGCTCACAGGTTAGCGTATGAGGTAGAAGACAGAGAAATAAATTAAGTATGTTGAGATAAGGGGAGAAGAATTGGGAGTCACTGGAAGACAAATCGGAGGAGGTTTTCTACAGAAGCAGGGATAGTAAAATTAAGCCTGGAATGATGAAAAAAGTGGGGAGAGGAAAATTTAGGCAGAGGGAGGTACAGGGCATGAAAAGTGCCTGGAGGGTTTCAAGAAGATAGATGTGGACACAAAAGCAAGATGGGGTGTGGAGAGTTTGAAAAGAAGTTGTAGAAGGAGTGTGAGCCTGGTTGTGAAGGGCTCTGAATGCCAACTTTAATAGATCTGTATAGTACTTCTGTAGCCAGTATTAGAGGTAGGAAATGGGAATCATTATTAAGATCTAGGCCTTTATAGTAGATACGAATCCAGACCCAGAAATCTAGGCAGAATGTTAGAGGCAAGAGGACAGTGTTTTAAATGGCTCACTTGAGTCTAAGCTGACTTGAAATTGGCCACCACCAGTGGGAGAGAGGCTTTGATGTAGGACAGGGACTGGTGAATGGTGAAGTGGTGGTACAGGAGAGCAGATCTTGGAGGGATAGCAGAGTATGACAGAAGTGAAATTGTCACTGAACTATAACTGCATATATAGCACTTGTGGATACTGTAGGAGCAGAGGATGTGGGTTGGGTATTACAGATAGGCTGGGGAAGATGGAAGTGGTTGACTAGTTAGGGAGGGTGATGGGAAGCATGAAATCAGGGCATGCTGTGGACAGGAGAAATAGCTTGGTGGTGGTAGAATAGTGATTGGAAAGAGGAGGATTCATCAGGGTGAGAGGGCATGGAGAAGGAAGCAATCTTGACTGGGAATGAAGTGGCTGAAGTGTTGATTGATTAAGACTGAGAAGGATGGTTGGCTGGGTTGGGAGGCTGGACGGAGGGAAAAAGGCTAGGCAGGCAGTATTTTTTGGTGTTAGAGTGAAAAAGAACTCTTTTCCACTCTAGTCCTGAGTCAACTTCAGGGATGGGACAGGAAATGGTACCTGAGGTTCATTTCTGGTCCATTTTGTCCTTTTTTCCATTTCCTCAGAACCCTAAAGGAGAAGTCCAAGAACCTAGGGGGTGGGGGAATCTCCCCTCTCAGTCCAAGGGAGGTTCCCTGATCCCAGCACCTTCATGATACCCCTGTTTATTCCCAGTGAAGAGCCGGAGGCCATCCTTCGGGGATTTACTCCTGCGGCATGCACACAGTCCAACCAGGGCCCGGCAGGCGGCACAATTGGTCCTTCAGCCTGGGCGAGATGGAGCAGGACTTGGCCTAAGTGGGGGCTCCCCTGGGGCTTCAACTCCAGTTCTGCCCCCTCGGGGCGGGGCCCCTGAGCGCCAAGGTGATGCTCTTCGAGTCAAGAATGCCGTCTACTGTGCAGTCATTTTCCCTGAATTTCTCAAGGAGTTGGCTGCCATCTCCCAGGCTCATGCTGTCACCTCACCTTTCTTGTTGGAGACTTCAGAGGAAGGATCTGGCCCTCCCATTTCAGGCTATGGGCCCCTCAATCCTTAACTTTCTTCCATGGACAATCAGGGCCATGGGTGGCCCGGGCTGGGGCTAGGGCACAGGTTCCTTTTTATGTTTGGAGGCAGTGGCAAAAGGACTTTTTAATTTATTTCAGATGAATGTTTTATGGAGAACTTGTTGCAATATGTATAAAAGGGAAATCTCTATTCTGTGCTCATTTTTCTTTCCCATTCTTTTTTCTATGGGGCCGGGGCCCCAGGAAAGTTTGTATATAGTGGGGGAGGTGGTCAGGAGTATTTTCTCTTTGGTAAGGACATTGATGCCAGGGTTTCAAGATACCCCTTATGTCCTTAGAGGGTGAAGGGTCTCTTCCCTCTTCTCTGGACCTCAGAAGAAATAAGCAGCATGGGCCCAGGATGGTTTGGGGGAGCAGCAGCTGATGTTTATTAGAGACCAGTACCCTTATACCAGATCTTGGAGGCTTTGCCCCCTGAACCTTGCTTCAGCTTCAGTCGTCGCTGTCGAACTCCGAGGACAGACCCTGCAGCAGGGGCAGGGACATGGAGTGTCCGTCGGGGTCCCCAGGGCCCCCAACCTGGGCTCCTGGTGGAGGGCTGCGGGGGCTGAAGAGCCAATTCTCTGCCAGGGTTGGGGATAGTCACAGCTTGATTCATGCCTGGTCTTTTTCCTCCCTAGATTTTCCCTCTGGTCCTCTGTGCCATCCCACTGCCCTTACCAGGGCCTCTTCATTCCATCTCAACCTCCCCAGGCTCCCTCATTCCATCTCTTTCACCAGAGCCCTGTGCTGAGTCATGGATTCCCCACAGATTTACCCCCCATGCCTTCTTCCTCCACTTTGTCCCTCCCATTTATCTTATCATTCCCCTAGTAGTACCTGATAGTATCTGGGACCCCCTCTGGAAGGGGTTTCGGCCCTTGTAGGAGAATCTGGTGGGTCTACCCTCTGGCCCTTCCCGGGGAGGTGGTATAGGTGGGGCTGGAACAGGTGGGGGCACATTGGCAGCTTCAGGAGTATCAGCAGGTGCTGATATGGAGGCCAGAGGTGGCATGATGCTGAGGTTGGGTCTGACCCAATTGGCCCCATGGGGCAATGGATCTTTAGTCAGAGGCTTCTGTGGTCCCAGCACACCCTTGGGCTGCAGTGAAAACTTGAGGCAGGAGAAGGCAACAGGTAATGACCGATGTAACCGGAGCAGCTGGGACTCACGGTCTGTAGGCGTCAGCCCCAGCTGCAGCCAGGAACAAGAGAAGACCTGGTAGATGACATAGATGCTATGGGTGCTTCGGAGCCAGGGAAGAGTCTGCTGTAGGCTCACCTGCCCTGGTGGCAGCAACAGGAAGGCAACCTTCTTGCGCAGGCCACCCATATGTAGGTGGATCCTGCAGGGCTGCCCATCCAACATTCGTATCTCTTCGTAGGTTATCTCTGCTTGGCCATTTGGTGAGTATTCCTGAGTGCAGTGGGCGAAGGTACCCTCAGATCCTGCTTGCTTCAGGAGGTTTGGTAGTGGCCCCACTGGTTTTAGTGCCCTCCGGCCCTGCCGACCTGGCAAAGCCAGGCGGGTATGGGCTGGGCGGGACTGTTTTACCAGCACACCCAGTAGGTCATAGCAGGCTGCATCTGATAGGAAAGGTACTGCTACTGCGTTGGACCCAATGTGTTCCTCGATGACCTGCAGGTGGCCAGTTTATAGGTCAGGGACTTAGGGTCAGGAGTTAACTCGTTGCCTACTCTAGATCGACTCTACCCTAGTGGTCACTGTTCAGTTACATCTCTATAATGTGTTCAGATTTATGCTTTCAGCTTATCTCCCAGCTCTCTCTTGCAGCAAAACCTTGAATATCTATGTGCCAAACTATGCTAGATACTGGGAAAACAAAAGAATGAGACTTCCTCTTTGTCCTAATATAGTTTACAAAAATGTAAACGGCTATGTAAAATATTAATAGAGGAAGGTGTGAAGGAGACAAGAAGTGATTCAGCAGTCTTTATCTTTCACAGAGGATCAAAGAAGGTCTCTAGGTGGTGATACTTGAGTTTTGAAGGAATTATCTAAGTAGGAGAATGGTCAATTCAGGAGTAAGAGTCACCAGTGAAAAAACTTGAATTTACAAACCACGAGGGGCACATTTAGGAACACATAATATTATATTGCTTGTATGTAGGGTATGAAGAGGTAAAGATACATAGGAACTAGATTATGAAAGGCTTATGTGTATGCCAAGTGATTTTGTCCTGAAGGCAGTGGGAAGCCACTTGAAGGGCTCTGGGTATGAGGAACAGGATCAGATAGGTGTTTTAGAAAGCTATTTTTTTTTTTTGAGATGGAGTCTCCTGTCGTCCAGGCTGGAGTGTAGTGGCACTATCTCTGCTCACTGCAACCTCTGCCTCCTGCATTCCGTTCGAGTGATTCTCCTGCCTTAGCCTCCCAAGTATCTGGGACTGCAGGCACCCACTACCATACCTGGCTAATTTTTTTGTATTTTTCTTAGAGATGGGTTTCATCATGTTGCCCAGGCTGGTTTCAAACTCTTGAGCTCAGGAAATACGCCCACCTCAGCCTCCGAAAGTGCTGGGATTACAGGTGTGAGCCACTGCTGCTGGCCAGAAGGCCAGTTTTTAACAGGAAGGCATAAAATAAGAGGCGATAAATCAGCGAAAAGTATTGCAATACTCCAGGCAAGGCATAATAAGGTCCTGAACTAAAATAGTGGGAGAAGATAATAGAGATTTAGGTTATAGAATTAGAACTTGGTCACTTAAGAGGTATGGAAAAAAGAATCCTCAGCCATGCACAGTGGCTCATGCCTGTAATCCAAGCACTTTGGGAGGCTGAGGAGGGTGGATCACCTGAGGTCAGAAGTTGGAGACCAGCTTGGCCAACATGGTGAAACTCTGTCTCTACTAAAAATAGAAAAACTAGCCAGTCATGGTGGCACATGCCTATAATTCCAGCTACTTGGGATACCGAGGCAGGATAATTACTTGAAGCTCAGAGGTGGTGGTTGCAGTGAGCCGAGACAGTGCCACTGCATTCAAGAGTCTCAAGAAAAAAAAAAAATCTTCAAGGATTCCTCTTAGGTGACTGGTTACATGGGTGATGTCTTTAATCAAGAATAGGTTACACAGAAATAGATTTGAAATGTCCATTCTTATACTATATCTATTACCTCTTAGTATGTACCTTCTACCCTAGCTGCAAGGGGTAGTTTTTGTAGCAAATTTGAGACCTCATTTTTATAATGCTAGTTACACTATGCTTTCAGGGATTTTATTTCCTCCTGTGTGTGTGGTTTTTTTGTTTTTGTTTTGTTACGGCCTTTTTGGTGTTGGTAACCTTGGAAAGTTGACCTCCTGACTAACTGGGAGATCCTATAAGAGACCCTCTAGTAATTATACCTAAGTATTACGGTTTCAACCCATTCGGGATTCTGTGGCTGACGTTTCTGGTTCTCTGCTCTACTAGGGAGCAAGGGCACATAGAATTTCCTCTTTGGGTGTCTCTTATATTTGAGCCCAGTGCTTAAAAGTGTTGTACTCTACTCCCTACCTCCAGCCCCAAATTCCACATATCTATGCCCTTACTGATGTCATTGCCCTCTTTGCTGGCAATCTGGTAGAATTCACCAGTGGCCCCTTAAGGCTGATGTGCTTTTTGCTACAAAGCTGTTTTGGAAGTACTGCCTCCTAGCATAAGAGGAAGGTAGCTAACTATGGAGTTGCATCGGCACCTTGGATAAGCTGAGGTAGCTTGTAGACTAATGTCTTGTCACCTGGCCAAAGGAATAACTGATGTTCTTTTGTGGTCTGCATGGAACACTTACCCATTATTCCCTCTCCTTTGCTTCACTGAAACTCTTCCTTTTGGGTGGGGCTCTGAGAAGGACCACTTGAGTTTCCAGGGGAGAGAGCAGGACACTGGTGGGTTAACGTTTTTGGATGTAATGTTTTGCCCCATGACTAGGAACTCAGAGGCACCAAGCATGACGTCAGAATCTCACCCTAACTGTTCCTTTGGTGTCAAGGATCCTGCACAACTAAGGCAAATGAGAGTATCTCCAGAAGAGGTCCCTGTGATAGGAGTGTGACATTTAAAATACGTGGTGCTTATTATCCAACTTTTCTGCTAAAAGGGTGAATCTCTGGTTTAGCTGGAGGCTCTTTATTCCCCATATGCTCTTCCTCTATGCTGACAGGCATTAAGTTGCCTAATTCTAACCCTGCCTAACCTTGACAGCCCCAGTGGTTATCCTAAGTATGAAAAATAAGGAGCTCAGTTTTTTGTGAGGGAGACTCTGTTCTTGGTAGAATCACTATTTAAGACTACTATGTGCTCCTATTGATATTCTGCTTCTGGTTAGAAATTACATGGACCTTAGGCCCACATATTTAGGTTTTCCAGGGGTGTCCCAGAAAAGTAATGATGGAATATTGTCTTCCTAGGTGTCTCTTCGTTGCTTTGAATTCTGAATGTGGAGCTCTTGAGCCACATTCTGTTTAGCCAAATGTTTTACCATATGTTCAGTAAACTCAGTGGCTTTGGACACAGAAAACCAGGTCACTCAAAGGTGACCTAATCTTTGAATTTTCCCTGTAACGCCAGTGATTTGTCCTGCCAATTTTCCTAAAAAATTTTAATTCAAATAAGGTAAGAAGTAAGTACTTTTGATACTCAGAGATGGTATAGCTTTTTAATAATGGGGGACTGTTTATTTTCACTCTAATTCTGCTTGATCTAGTCCAGGACCAACCTTCTACACTGCTGAAACCAGTTGATCTAATACTTGAGAAACCTTGAGCTCTCCTTTTTTGATTCCCTGGGAAGCTGGCCTTTGTGGTAAGCAGCTGCCCTATTTGGAATGGGAGCAGCATGCCATTAAATCTTCTTTGAGTGTGGTAAGCACTGCTTTAAGGTGTTTTTTTTAAAATCTTGGTAGGCTGACTTCTGTGAATGTTTTAAATTCACCTTCCTTCAAATCACATAGTCAGAACCTGCTTTCTTAAATTCTCCGATCTGAAATTTCCTGCCATCAGCCTGCAGCTGAGAAATGATTTGGTGGGATTTGTTGGATACCTGCAACCCAGATACAGCTGAGATCTCCTTGCTCCTTAAAATAATACAAATTTGCCTTGAACCCCAAATTTCTTATTTTGTGAAAGTTAAGATGGTGGAGATCTGTGAAAGAGTTGAATATAAAGTTCAGATTCTATAGGAATCTGGTTCTATAGGAAGTCCAGGTTCTAAGATTAGCCCCTATGTATCTTTGGCCTTAGTTTTACCACTGCTTCTTTGAACTCTGTCCTAGAAGATTATTAGGAGTTCTCAAATATGAGTTGTTCTTTTTCCTCTCCTTATTTTTAAAAATGCTCTACATTTAATTAATATACTATGCACTCATCACCCTCCTTCTCATTAACTAATTTAGATACTAAGCATCTTTTGTCAGGTTCTCTTCTCCCTCTTTGTGTGAATAACTTGTTTGCCTAGCTAGAATGTCACTCTTTCCAGGAAGCCTTCCTGATCTCCTGTCTTACCCCTCATTTAGCATGTTTCCTTTTTGCTCATAATTCCCTATCCATTGCTTTTCAGTGAACCTTTTTTACTGTTTTTGCAGTTGTCATTAAATAGGGCAGTTTGTGCCAATAACTTTACTGCAGTGCCTGGCACATATGGAAACACTGAGTAAATGTTATTGTTGTCTTCAGGCTTCCCACCCCTTCCTACTCGCAAGCTGCTCAGACCCATGCAGGTCACACTTTGTTACTTCCTCTTTAGCATCCTTACTTTACCTACCTTATCCTTGATGAGGGTCCAGGTGGCATCAGCTTCACTTAGTGTCAGCAGGTGGGGGGTACCAACCAACATGGTGGGGTATGGGAGGGACTGGGCAGGGCAGTGGCTGCTGCGGGAACCCCAAGCTGCCCAGGGAAGTGAGACCTCAGGCCTTGGGCCCTAAGCCACTGCATGACGTCATAGAGGTCCTGATAGATAATTGTGCCTGGGATAGGGAGAGGACAGTGACAGTGACTTTCCTAGCTTCACCACAGCCTATAATTCATACTCTTGAGTCACCTATCCATCCTTCTGCATTAGGGGCAGAAAATGCAGGTGTCTGTTAGGGTGTGTTTGTATATGTGTATATGTGTGTATAGTTCTTGGTCTGAATTCTTTAGGGAAACAGGATCAGGCTTCTCCTCCCTTCAGCAGCATCTCTGAAGCAATTTACTATCTTCTTAGCTGCAGATGCTTCTCTCTGAGGTTGGATTGGGGTACTAAAGGACATGGAAGAAGTACAATCATGAGCCACATAACAGTGTTTTGGAAAATGATACATGACTGACAGTGGTCTGACACCATAAGATTATAATACCATATTTTTACTGTACTTTTTATATGTTTAGGTATGTTTTGATATACAAATACCATTGTTTTACAATTTCTTATAGTACTCCCTACAGTAACATGCTGTGCAAATTTGTAGCCCAAGAGCAATAGACTATACCTTAGAGTCTAGGTATGTTGTAGGCTATACCATCTAGGTTTGTGTAAGTACACTCTACAATGTTTGCACAATGATAAAATTGCCTAAGGATGCATTTCTTGGAACATATCCTGTTGTTAAGCAATGCATGACTGTATAGATAGGGTTTATACTGAGAACCAAGCGGTGGTTCCCAACCTTGGCTGCACTGTGAAATTGCCTGGGAGCTTGAAAATTACTGGTGCCTGGATCAAAACCCCAGAGATTGTGATTTAATTGGTCAGGGGTGTGCCTGGGCATCACAGTTTCTAAAAACTCCTCAGGCAATTTTAATGCATAGCTTAGGTTGAAAACCATTATTAATGGGTGGGCTCCAATTGCAATGAAAACCAGGTTTGTGTAGGAGGTTGCTGTGCTGAGCAGTGTGACAACGTGGAGGGTAAGAATATAATTGGGATAATGTTGCCTTGGTAACGAGCGAATTTTCAGGAAGCCAGAATTACCCAGGTAAATTTGAGGAAAAATTTCTTCATGTTCCACTCCCTGTCCTAGTCTGATTTGTGCCTAATAGCTAGATAAGAGCTGGAATATTAGCTATGTGTTATCTCCTTTTGCATCTTTATTCAGAGACCTCAACTGTGTTTTGCTTTTGCTAAAGAAGAATCCTTCTAGAGAGCCTTTCCCGTAGTTACTTTTCCACTTCGTACCTTATCTGTTCAAGGAGTTCTTTCTCTGAGTCCCTCTGGAGAGTCTCCTTTGTGCCCAGGAAGACCTCTTGTGTGTAGGAGGTATCCTCCCCTAGCCCAGCCCAGCGTAGCTCTGTAGAGTAGTCCCACAAAATTGGCTGTCATCTGAGCTGACTGAGATGATATGAGTGGTAGCATAGGGAAAGGTCCTGCAGTGGTGGGGAAGAATGTTAGGAACATTTTTCTAAGGAGATGTAACTGGCTTCAGGAGGGCAGGTCTCCTTAGATAGAGCTATAGATCCAGGTGCTGGGTCTTTGAGCAAAATTTTTACAGTGGGTGTGGTCCTGTTTTCCAAGAGAGGGATTAATATCAAATATTTCTAGGAGAGAAATTATACCAAATATTAATGTTGAGCTCTTTTGTGCTAGGGGCTGTGCCAGATACTTTAAATTCATTATCTTAGTTAATCCATTTGGTATACTCTTGAAGTAGTTATTACTATTATCTCATTTTACAAGTAAAGTAACAGGCTCAGAGAGGTTAAGGCATATGGTGTGTTTATAGAGGATCTAGGATTCAGGTAGAAGTCTGCTTGACTGCACCTTTAACCTTTTGCTCACTTTAGTGTGTGGTGGGAGGGGTGTCTGCCAGATGGAAGGCACCAAGTGGTTTAGTGAAAAGGAAATGGTCAGGATAAGAGAGGAGCCATGATGGACCAAATCAGAAACCCCAGGTTTCTTACTAAGACAAGTGAAACCAAGTTTTTTCCTTCTATTGCCCCTTTAGCACATTTTTATGGTTGACAAAAAGAGGTCACCTGGTATAGCATAGCTGCACCTCTCTTCTTTCTAGGAAAGAATTCTGAGTGAGGCAGGTGGAGATAGAGAAAGAGAGAGACATACACGAGGACAAGAGACACAGATATGTGACAAAACCGACAAATGGTGCAAGGAGACAGAGATGCAGCAGTACAGAGACAATGAAAGTGACTGATAGAGAATGATGCACATCCAGATCCTGAGGGTATTCAAGAATGAGAAGGGGAGGGATGAAGTCGGTGCAGGTATGGTGGACTGCGGTCACTTTACCACTATGGAATCTATGCATATAACAAAATTGCACTTGTACTCTTTGAATTTATACAAATTTTTAAAAAATGAGGATCTCTTTAGGACTTTTGGGAGAGGGGCTCAGAGGGGAAATTGTGACTGAAAACTTCTGACTAACTGCTCGGTTAGAAACCCATACCTTCTTCTTCTGCCATCTTTCTCTTGCTGTCTGATTTTCATGATTCCCTAGGATCCCAAAATTCCATACTGATCTACCCCAACACTAAGTAAGTCTGACTTTTGTTTTGACTCAGAGTGATTGAGACTAAAAGTTACTGAAGGAAAATGGATGACAACTGGGTCCTGGATGGAGCTGGTAAGCCTAAGGGCTGGGCTCTTTGGGCCATATCCTGCTTATACGATTTGCCTCTGGTGTGGCATGAGGGACAGACCATTTGCAGGATATCTGAGGGTGGTCTGAATGGAGAGGATGAGAATGGAGAGGATGAATGCATGAGAGGAACAAACAGATGGTTGTTTTTAACTAGAGAACATGAGGTTCTCTGTATGAACCTGTAGGGCAGTATAGAATAGTGTTGACAACAAAGACTTTAGAGTGACGAAGAGCCCTAAAAAGTCTCTTCATGTCTCTCAGACTACAAGGATAATCACACAGACCCCCTCATATCTTACTTGAAACTTTTAGGGACATATTTTGGAATTCATATGTTTTCAGATTATAGAAAAGGAATATGATACATATATCATATATTAAGGACTACTCCATTGGGATTCAGGACAGTGCCCCATAATCAAACACATCAACATTTCTGCAGTTAGATGTATGAATATTCACACTAAATAAGATAAATAAAGATAAGTAAGATCATGATAGTTGAGGTGTCAGGTTTTGGGCCAAAGTTATAAAAGAAAATGGTTTCTTCAGAGGTTTTTAAAAAAAAATTTTGGGAATTATGGATGAGGGATTGTGGGCTTAGAATTAATTCTCAGGTTGTTGTGAGGAATGAGAGTGTGGTAAATCTCTTGAAACACATCACATGGTAGGTATGTATGAAATCTCAATTTGGAACAAGATACAAATGTCCAAGGGAATGGATTTTTAGCTTGAAGTAAGAAAGTTGCTACAATGGACAACGTACAGCTCAGGAATCGGCTACTGTGGAAGTTGTGCACAACCAGAGGTTGAAGGTGCCTTAGAAGAGAGTCTTCCTGTGGTGGGAGGGTGACAGAATTCATTGTTTATGAACGTTGGCTGTGGATGATTTCCCTTTCATGTATCAGAGGGGAAGGGCAAAAAATGGTATACCTGTATGTATGTAAGACAGGATTATCAAACATATATATTTATAATCAATAAATACCTTACTGCATATATCCTTGTTCACATCTCGATTATTTTCTTAGGATAGATTTATTAAGGAGGAATTTATTTATTTTTTGAGACAGTGGTGCGATCATAGCTCACTTTATTGCAGGCTGAGTGGTGCGATAGCTCACTGCAATAAAGGGGAATTTATGAACATCTTCAAAACTTATGACTCACTAGGATTAGAATTGGCAGTTATCTGCAAAATCATTGCTTGGAGGCCATTTAAACTGAGAACCTCATGAAAAAATTAGTCTTGAAAATGAATGAGCCCACACTTAGGTTGATTTTAGATTTTCTCTGTGTCTACTTGTATGTATACAGTGTGATGATGCCTCTGAAAAATCATACAGAACTTCTGGGCTCTTTAGTCCTTGTTACTGATGAACTGGTAAGACTCAATGTGGCACCAGAGATAGCATCATCTGCTTTTTCTGATCTGCAGCTTCCTCATCTGTGTGGTGTCCCATGGTGCTTGGTCCAGCTATCTGTGCTGAGTGGACTGGGTTGCTCCTGGCTTCAGGTCTTCATGGCTAACTCCAGTACCTGTGGTTGTGATTGATTTCCTGGAGAGCTTGGGTTTGCCTTTGCAGTCTGCAGCTTTTTCTGATTTCTTAACAGCGACTCCCTGCTTTCTGTCAGATTATACTTATTCTGAACTCCATGATGGCATGAAAGACCTTTTGTTATGTAATGTCCCTGTCAGTGTGGTGTCTTAGCTGGAAATGAATCCCCTGTTGGGCAACACCACCACACTTCCTGTTCTTGCTGCTCTGGCAGTTACAGAAGTGTGAAATATTTGATCATACTGCACTAACATCACATGCTTCTAGTGATGTTGGCCAGGACAAATGGAGGTGCTGATGGGGATTTTATCTGGGTATTGTACCTTCTTGTTGAGGGTGCACAAAAGGGCAGATTGACAATAAGCCATAGTAACAGCCTCAAGCAATCAGATGTGATTGCAGTGATTTTTCTGGGATATCAACATTTCTTTCAGTTGGATTCCTGACCTCTGAAGCTGCAGTCACAGAGAAGCTTTTGGGGGCTTTAGTGGGAGTTGAGGGAAGGAGGAATAGTAATTACACATGAGACCAAAAGAGGATTCTTTGAATTCGAAGTGGCCAGACTGGTACCACAGGGCACATTATTTAGATTATCAGAAGGTGGGAGATTAGCCTGTGTAACTCACTTCCTGAGAGCAGGCTGAAAAAATCTGGCTCCAGGAATAGAGAGGGCTGTGATTCCAGACAGTTACCCAAGCACTTGACTCCAGAGACAGTGCCACTCTGCAGCAGTGCCGTGCAGTTCTCTCAAATTTGGAATCTGTGGAGGAGCTTTTGTATGGGAACATGGGCAGAATTAGGTTGAAATAATGGAGGTGGGGAGCAGGAAAGGGAGTTAAGTTAGATTTTGTTTATTATGATCCTACACTAATTTTTCCTGCATGGTAATGTTTAAGTCAAAGTCTACAGATGTCAGTATTGTACATAGTAGGGACTCCACAGCAAGTACCTGTTAAGTGATAACAGTCTTAGGCTGACCGTGGATGATGATAACAATCCACACCCCAGAATCCCCCTCCAAGTGTCTCCCCTCCTTCACCCTCAGGCTCCGTTGTTAGCACTGGTCATCACAACAGGCTTTTTCTGAATCTGAAGGTTTCCAGGAGTCGGTTCCTAATCTGCTTGGTGCGGGCCCCGCAGATGAGGGGGTTGAGGGCAGGTGGCAGCAGCAAGTAGAAGTTGGAAAGAAGAATGTGCACAGGCTTTGGGACAGTGTGATGACCAAAGCGGTGTGTGAGGTAGGAGAAGAGACCAGGTATATAGAAGGCCAGAATGACACAGATGTGAGAACTACATGTACCAAAGGCCTTGGCACAGGCCTCCCGGGTAAGCAGCTGCAACACAGCATGGGCAATGAGTCCGTAGGAACCAGTGATACCCAGAATATCCATACCTGAGATGGCCAGTGAAAGTGCCAGACCATGTAAGTTGTTGGCCCGTGTGTTACCCACTACCAGCTCTACCACAGCCATGTGTGCACAATAAGTATGGCCTATGGTCTTGGCTTGGAAGTGCTCAAATTTTGCCACCAGCAGTGGGAAAGGCACAACAATAGCCACAGGTTCAGTGCCAATGCCAGGGCTGCATAACCCACACGGGCTTTGGTGACCAGGACAGGGTAGTGCAGTGGACACCCTATTGCCACAGCACGATCACAGGCCATGGCCAAAAGCACACCGGATTCCATGGCAGTCAGTGCATGTACAAAGAACATCTGGACCAGGCACATAGCATATGGCATAGATCGGGGCCCAAGCCACAGTACAGCCAACAACCCTGGAGCTATAGATGTGGCTAAGCCCAGATCTGTGGCTGCCAACATGGCCAGGAGTAGAAACATGGGCTGGTGCAGTGTAGAGTCTATCCACATCACTGCCAACAGTGCTCCATTGCCCAGCAGGGCTAGCAGATAAATGGGTCCAAAGACCAGTGTCAGCCAAGTCTGGTACTTCCTAGCCCTGGAAAGCCAGTCAGTATGAAGAAGTTTGGGCGTAGGAAGGTGGAATTGAGTTGTTGAGTTTCTGCCATTCTGTGGTGGGCACAACTTGAGGGCTCATGGGGGCATGACTCCTGATAGGAAAGACAAGGAGAGAGATTTTGGGGGTGTCACAGTGGCGCAAACCTATCCATGGCATATGTGTAGGAGCAGTGCAGGGCTGGGAGGATCACAGGGTTATAACTTCTGGTTAGGGGAGGTTCAGATAGATAATTAAGGTCACAATTCTAGTTAAGGTAGGAGAACCCTTTGCTCCTAAAAGGCTATACATGTTGTAGGGGGAGGAAGCGGTAGGGAGGAAGAGACTGACTGTTGCAGTGGCTGGTATAGATAGCCAGAGAGAGCCTTCTAATTGGATGTCAGCAAAGGATGGAGCTGAGATGAATGCTTTTCTTCCTCAGAGTCCAAATGGAGTCAGTCTCAGTCTCTATATGCCAGTGCTAGGTGGGGATCAGGCTTCCAGCTGTCCTGTCCCTGCCTGTGTATCCTTAGATAAGACCTCTGAACCTCACCTTCTTCAGCTGTGTAGAGATTGTGGGTACAGTGATATTAAGGTTTGCCCAGCTCTAGCATTCTGTGCACCAACCATCCAAGAAGAGAGGAGGCAGAGTAGAAAGAAAGGGAGAAACTGGTAGGAGGCAGGTGGAATAGGGAGTGAATCTGGGAGGTTGGTGTGGCAAGAGAAAACTTGCTGGGTTTTTGGGGTTCAGGGTGCTTACATTCTGAACTTGATGCTGCACACCAGCTGCAGAGTTGAAGTTGGGGCTGAGGAGCAATGGAGAGAGATGGCAGTATGAAATGGGTCTTTTCTTCTCCATTTTCTTTCCTTCTTCATGATATAAAAGTGGGTCCCACTAGAGTCCCATTCCTGGCATGCCAGAGGGAGGGAGTGGAGGTGACATAAAGGGAGAAAATGACATTCAGCTCAGAGTAACAGCCTTCTGAGGAAGAAGCATCTCTAACGTTGGAGGAGGCAGGATGAGTAGACTGACTTCTCCCAGGATCTAGCCCACCTAAGAAGCTTAACACATGTTGAGTGGATACATGAATGAGGAAGAGATTACCAGCAGAAAGCTTGACTGGAAAAGATCTCGAGCACTGTGTGTTGGCAGCTTCTTTTTGCTTTAACTGGTGCCTGTGGGGCTCTTTATGTGGCTGTACTGCCTGCTTCCCTCAGGGCCCTTCTCCCTCCTGCCTGTGCCACATTAACTCTTTTTTAAGCTCTTTGCTCAGTGCTGATGGACCGGTGACTCAGGAAGTAGATTAAGGAGGCAGGGATGGGGGCAAGCCAGGAAAGAGACTCTAGGGTAGAAAGATCTGCGAAAGGAACACTTTCTCAGGGAGGTCTTTGCTGGCTCACTGAAGTCCAGGAGAAGATTCCTTGCTTTATTCTTTAATAGCATCTATCCCACTCTGTTGTAATTTCTTGTCTCTCACTTCCCCACTAGACCAAAAGAGTTGCAGATACTGCTTTTTATTAGCCACAGCATCTCCACTGCTCACCACAATGTCTGGCATGTAGTTGGCTATGAATAAATATATATAGCTTTTAATTATGGGACAGAATGCTAGCCCAAACAGCCTCTGCTGACTAGTAGGGGCTCCTACAGTTTCAGGAGCCTTAAGTATCCATGAAGAAAGTGTTATTTACCATCAACCACAAGTCTACTGAATACAGTTCTTTCTATTATAAGGAAATATATTCTTAAACTAACCACACTATGTGAAGCCATACAATAAAGACCACAGGGCTTATTAGAAAAATGAAGATGGGGCACAACACTCAAAAACTTCATCAGTGACATATTTCAAAAAAAGATGGACTGGGTGCAGTGACTTACACCTATAATCCCAGCACATTGGGAGACCAAGACAGGAGGATCACTTGAACCCAGGAGTTTGAGACCAGTCTGTGTAACACAGTCAGAGCCCATCTCTACAAGAAAATTTAAAAATTAGCCAAGCATGGTGACATGCACCTGTACTTCTACCTACTGGAGAGGGGAGGCAAGAGGATCACCTGATTCCAGGAGTTCAAAGCTACGGTGAGCTATAACCATGCTATGTGCTCCAGCCTGGGTGACAGAGTGAGACCCTGTCTCTAAAAAAACAAATAAAATGAAATTGGACAGAAAATTGTAATACCAGGTGTGGATGGGTGTGGCTCATATCACAAGTGGTGAACTGAAGTAACTGATATATGTTTGAGGTGTGGGCATGTGTGCCTGTTGAGCTTTTTAATTCAGCTTCATTCATTTAACTGGGTTCAGTTTTCTGTGTTTACCTAGTTTCTTGAAAGTGGAGTTACATACAAACAAACATGAAATTCACATTATTATTAGTTCCCTAATATATGTATCAATTGTCTTTGCACAAATTTGTATTTCAAAACTACTATTACAGCAGAACTAGTTGAATCTCTTTTCTGCTTGGCTTTGTGTCATGTGTTGAGGATACAGTGGCAATAACAATACCCTGTTGCTCTCAAGGAGTTCACAGTCTATTGGACACAGTGACATAAATAGTTGTTGAAGGATGATTAAGGTAATTGCCTTAACTCAAGTCAATACCGGATATGATGGCAGCACAGAGAAAGAAGACTTTCACTCTTCCTGGGGGAGTCAGGGAAATCTCTGAATCATAGTAATGGTTAAAAGTCCTGAGGAGTTTCCTGTGTACATGCACTGCTCTAAGCCCTAACCTCACAGCAGCCACTTGAGGTGGGTACAATTCTTTCTTCCATTTTACAAAAGAAACTAAGAGATAGACATTAACTTGGTCAAGGTCATACAGCTGGTAAATAGCAGAGTTAGGATACTAACTCGGTCTGGCTCTAGCATACTTGCTCTTAGCTACTAGCTCAAAAATTGCAGCTGAAGTTTAGGACATGAGAAGGAATTTTTAGAATAGTTGGAGCAAAATGCACCTATTCCTGGGAGAAGGAGTTCAGGAGGCTTTGCGATTGGCAGGTGATCCTAGGATTGCTGAATGGAGAGATATACAAAGAGCTGTAATTATTTGGCAGTAAATTGTGAGCTCTCATTCATTCAGGGAGGAGAGGAGCACTGAGCAGGTGGGAGCAGTGGGTTAAGAACCATGAAGGAGAGGGTTGAGAAAAAGTGCTCTTGTCTCAAGAGAACACTAATGGAACATTTGGCTGTCTTGGACACTTGCTCTTTATGCAAAGATTGTTTGTAAGATAAATTACAGAATCCATATGCCCAACAAGTCCAAATTTGAAGTCATTAAGTTCTTGGAATCTACTGTATTATGCATTTCCCATTCTCCAGTAATCCAGGATACACTGGGAGATATCATTGACTTTGTCTTTAGAAGATTCCTTAGTTAGTCTCCCAAACTCCAGTTCATACTTACAGAAACTATCTAAGCACATCTTGGGAGCCAACTCGCTGGTCTTTTCTTGTGTTTTTTACCATTAGAGGAGGAGGTTTGACACCTGTGACCTTGTGGTGGCTGTTTGCCAGAGCTACTCTCCAGAGCAGACTGCCAGCTCTCTGTGAGGAGTAGGGTGGGGTGGGGAGAGGGGAGACTCATTGGACTTCTTAGTTGCTGTTAGACTGGCATGGAAAAATAGGATAGGACAGTTCTGTTTGGAGATTGACTGATTTTCTCACATTTTTGGCTAATGCAGCTACGACCAAAACAAGATAATAGCTGTGTCCATGTGGGCCTGTTCTATTGTTTTACACTTAAAATGATCCATGAGCAATAACACATATGAGTAGCTTATCACTTTACACAATAGGTTACAGATCAGAAATCTTGGGTTTTAGTGGTGTCATACAGCAGTAAATCCTGTTATAGAAACCTACTAAAGCAAACTCAATTGTCAAATCCCAGTTCCTAGGTCAATATGAGATCCTTCTGTGACTACTGGCACCATAGTAGCCTAGACCTCCTTCCCTCAGTTTCCAGAACCCATAAGCCCAACAAGTCCAAATTTGAAGTTAAGTTCTTAGAAATCTACTGTGTTATGCATTTCTCCAGTAATTCAAGATACACTGGAAGATATCATTAACTTTGCCTTTAGAAGGTTCCTTGGTTAGTCTCCCAAGCTCCAGTTATAGAAACTATCTAAGCACATCTTGGGAGCCAACTGGCTGGTCTTTTCCTGTGGCATTTACCATTAGAGGAGGGGATTTGATACCTGTGACCTTGTAGGAGATAGATTATAGAGAGACCCTGTAAGATCAGGTTGCTCTACCCTGCGGAGATGTGGAAGGAGTGGTGGAACCACTATGCCCATTCTTCTAGCTTTAGTTTTCCCCCTCTACCTCATGCTTTCCAGTCCTTCCATGACCAGGTCCTTAGTATTCCATAAGGCTCTGGAGCACTGGGCATCCCTGGTTCCAAGGAGGATAGTCGACGTACTTGCATTGAAGTTGTAGATTTGAGAGGGGAAGTGAGTGTTCTCTTTCTCCATTATGATAAGAATCTTCCAGAAGTCAGGTTATGGTAGCAGTATGGAATAGATCACATCTAGTTTTTAATCAAACCTCTTTTAATCTTGTCTACTCTCTGTATCCATATCTCCTTCCTCTGCAATAGGGTCATTCCTTCCAGTCCCAGAATATCTGGGACTGACTTTGACCATATATAGAAGTGACTCTATGCATGCTGAGGTCACAGTTGCCATGTTTGTTTCCAAGGCAACACTACCTGCAAAGTTGGGTTAGGACCCTGAAACTCCCTTAACTTAGCAAATCATTCTATTCCTTCAAGAAATGTTTCTTGACTAAGCCTCTCTGACTAGTAATGGCTGAGGAGAACACTGCTGGGATGGTCTTCCAGTGACTTTTAAAAATAGAAGATAAGTAGTTTTCTGTAAGGTTTCTCTAGCATTTAGAAGAGGGCTTTTGAAATGACTCACTTTGTTGAGATTGGGTTGAAGTTATTGCTCAGGAAATTAATTCCCTGAAGTTGTTCTCTGAGGTAGTAGATAATACTTTTATCTTTTCCCATCATTATCTCCCTCTCTCTGAATCCATGTGGCATGGGTGACTCTTACAAC